CTAGGGCCATTCAGTCTGCATCTGGTTTAAAGATAAGGAACCCTACAAAGAAGAAGAGGAGAGCAGGTGAACTTGCTCATCACCAGATAGTAGCACCTGATCAGCAGACTGAGCTGGCACCTGGTGTCTTCCTCACTATGGGGAGATGCATTGCATTTCTATTTAAATTGTAGTAATTGATTTTAAGCTTACATCCATACATATGAATTCCAATATGCAAATTGGTGTCCTCTTTCTGTGATGCAGATCTTCATTTTTTTACAGTGTGTAACTGGCCACCCTCTTCTTGTGGCGGACAACTAAATAGCAGGGCTTCAATTGATGACCTCTGTGAGTGGGGTAGGTAGTCAGTACAAGGGAGTGGGGCGTTGCTTTTGCAAACTAGCTCACAAATGTTGACCTCCCTCCTTCCTCATCTTTGGGACACTGCCTTCCTATAAGTGTCAGCTGGGAAAGCATTACATATTTTCATCCTGCATACTAAGATCCACCTCTTTCCCATTGCTTATGTAGCCCAAAGAGCACTCCAGCACACAAAGGGAAAGTCATAGTATGCTCAGGTGAGTGCAGATTTTCAGAAGTACAAACATTGTTTAGGGGGGAAAACATTGAAGGAGCAAATATCCCCAGAACAACTCAGTGAGAATTGAGTATCTCTAGTGTCCATTGAGTATTCACAGATGAGGGAGAGAAAGAATGTAATGGGGTATCATAGAGATGGGCATGTCGGATTAGCTGGAATGCTGAACAGGGAGAACTCACATGGCTACATTTTGTGAGATGTGCTCTGTGTATCTTCAGTTGAGTTTGCTTAGTGCTTTCAACTGATACTGCCAAACATGAGGAATCATTTTGGCTGTGTATAGAAATGAAACCTATGTGAGTGTCGTCGCCCGTCGCCCCCGGTGTAGTTAGCAGGGGATGGTAAGCAATGTAGAATGCAGCTGTTTGGAGGTGTCCTATTAGGAGTAACACAGTCCGCTTCCCACGAGAGTTTTATCTTTGTTAATCTTCACATTATAGCCTAATCCCCTCCCTTGTTTTTAACGAAAGCAGTATGGTTAAATAACATGAGCTGTATGAAATGATAATGGGGCAATAAATATGAAAAAAGCACTAGAACACCAGGCATAATGCTCATAACATTTGGCTGCAACCGTCGTTTATCCAACTGAAGTCAGTGTGTTGAAAGTGCCTAGTGGGAGAGCAGGATATCAGCTGCCGGTTGCAATCCTAAACATACATGCCTACTTGAACCCACTGGGATTTACTCACAAGTAAACATGCTTAGGATTGCACTGCACTTCTCCAAGACTCACTTGGTGATACTCCAGGAGAGTTTAAGGCGGCCACAGAGATAAAACTGGGCTCACTTCCACAAGTGCTGAAACTTGTATTCTATTATTATTATTATTATTATTATTATTATTATTATTTTCAAAAGCTCTATTAAACAAATAGCAAACAAGAAAAGCAACAGTGCATTAAGCTGTAAGTAAAATTAGTCAGATGCTTTGGGAAATGGAAAAAAAAAAAGCTGCCTGAAACTTGGATTCTTGAGAAACTCCACTGTCAAATTTTAATAGCCATTAATAGACTAAGTTTCTAGTGCCCAGCTCTAGAGAGATGTTTCAAAATGTGTGTCAGGAAGCCAAGGGGACCTATGCCAGAGAAATGAGTTGCATCAGGCAAGGTAGATGCAGATGTGCTTTGTGAGGGTAGCTGATCTTTCAGTGACTGCTACTTCCTACTGCCTGCACCACTGCCTGCCCTATCTCTGTTTTCTCATCTATTTCTTTAACAAGGAAAAAATGGATTCCTGAACAAACCCAGTTATTGCAAGTTATGCCGAATAATGCAAAAGCAAGTAATTCTGCATAATTTTCATTACAATATATGAATTTCATCGTGGCAGAATGTTTGGTTACAGGATGTAACAGGCTTGCTTCTATTACTTTTCCTGATGCTCCCTGGTGTAGGAATGACTCTCTCTGCATTTCTTAGCAGATATAGAATAGTATGCATTTTTTGTATTTTTTAAAAGAATGAATACTTACTGCTCTGGGTTGGTTCCCGGTACTGCAAAGGAAAACGTAGCTCTATAAACCATGATTCTATGTAGTTTTGCTATGAGTTGTAGATTGATTAAAGCTGGGGGGGGGGGGATGCACGTCAGAAGAAAATTACTAAAAAGCATACTTTCTTTGTTATGTGTTGCAGCCCATATCCTTTTGGAAGAGACATTCTCAATTTTTCACCCAGAAAGGAATGTCTCTTCTAACACAGCATTTGCAATCTTCAATTTAAGTACTTCCATAAAAAAATAATTTGAAAAAAATTAAATATCTACTGCTGTATTAATTTGTGCACCTTTTTAGTCTGTCAAAATGTTTCTAACTATCTGATCATATCCATTAATACATTACATGCTGCAGTCCTGTCCCCCCATATATATATATATTGCTAAACTATTCCTTCTCAAATAAATGTGTTTGGGCTGCCTCCAAACAATGCTCAAGGGCAAGAGAGTTCCAAAACCTAAAAGCAAGCATGTGTGTCCACTATTCAGATTTGAGGCAGGAAGGATGCTGCTTTAGCTGGGTTATGCAGGAGGTGGTAGTCTTAACCAGATGAGCTTTACAAGGCACAACTAGCACCTCAAATTTCACCCAGAAAGTGTGTGGGGAGGAGGGCTGAACTTGGAGGAGAGCCGTAGATACAGAGTCATGGGCAGTTTGTAACACAGAGAAAATATATTTTACCAGACCTGTCTGCTGAGATTTGAGCATCCTGAGGATGCTTCTGTTGAAAGGTGGGATATAAATCGAAAAATAACTATATAGAGTTCTTTTTTGCAACTCTGGCTTAAAAGGTAGGTTTCCTTTTGTTTCAACTCAATTGTTTTATTGCAGAAGCTAATTATTTAGCTTATTGTTTTAACAGTACTAATCCAAGCTTCATTGTCACTTTTAATGGTCCGTGTAAGCTGGCTTGGTTCTTTTTACAGTGGTACCTTGGTTTAAGAACAGCCCTGTTTACACACTATTTGGTATAAGAACTCCGCAAAACTGGAAGTAGTGTTCCCGTTAGCAAACTTTATCTCGGTCTACGAACGGAAGCTGAACAGGGGAAGGGCACCGGCAGCGGGAGGCCTCATTAGGGAAAGCACGCCTCAGTTTAAGAATGACTTCAGTTTAAGAACGGACCTCCAGAACAAATTAAGTTCGTAAACTGAGGTACCACTGTATATTGATCTGAGTGACTTGAAATAGACATGGCTAGGAGATCTAACTGATGACCCCATGGCATACAAGCAGTGGGCAGGTGCAAAAGTAATACAGCTCAGGTGTTAATGGATACACCTCTGCTGATCACTCCAGGATAATTTGCTTTGAAGAAAACAACTTCAGCTGACTAGGGCTTAGTATTCTCAGTTTAAAACAATAAACAGAAAGTGTGTTTTGCAAAAGTTTAGCTTCTGGTTTCCAGAGACGACGTCGCTAGCCTTGAATTGGTCAGGCCAGCCGCTGACACAGGGCATCCTTGAGCAGCTACCCTGGTGCCTGCCAGCCCTTGGGCCCCTTGGCTAAAGTTCTGGGCCTTGCTGGAGAAAATATTGAGGGTCACCATGTTTTTGTGGCATCTGCCATTTTGTCCCCTCCACAAACATTGCCCTAGAGCATCGTAATAGAAACAAAAATAGCTTATGTCCAAAGGAACCTTTGCCATGCATTATGTTTCTTTTATAAGGGAAAAGTCTGGTGCTCTCTCATACAAGGAGACACACACAGAGATGGCAATGAGGGGGTACCACCCACCCAAAAGGAGTGCTATTTTCTAAGGTCCTGCTCAGACCTGGAGAAGAGCCTGGTGTGTTTGGTATAAACCAGACCTACTTAACTGAAGTACTTGTAAAAGTTGTCTTGGCTTTTCTTCAAGTAGTACAGGACAGCACAAATGGTTCCCACTATTTCCCACTCCCTCTTTAAATTCTCATGATGATATTGTGAGATTGTTTAATAATAATAATAATAATAATAAATTTTATTTATATCCCGCCCTCCCCAGCCGAAGCCAGGCTCAGGGCGGCTAACAACAATAAAATAGTACAACATTCTAAAATCATTTCATTATAAAATTAATTCAAATCAAATTGATGGCAACCATTAGGCTAAAGTTCTGTGAAGATTGCCAAAGGAGGGAGTCAGGCTGTGCCCTGACCAAAGGCCTGGTGGAACAGCTCTGTCTTGCAGGCCTGCGGAAAGATGTCAAGTCCCGCAGGGCCCTAGTCTCTTATGGCAGAGCGTTCCACCAGATTGGAGCCACAGCCGAAAAAGCCCTGGCTCTAGTTGAGGCCAGCCTAACCTCTCTGTGGCCTGGGACCTTCAGGATGTTTTTGTTTGAAGACCGTAAGTTCCTCTGTGGGACATACCAGGAGAGGCGGCCCCGTAGGTACGAGGGTCCTAGGCCGTATAGGGCTTTAAACGTTAAAACCAGCACCTTAAACCTGATCCTGTACCCCACCGGGAGCCAGTGCAGCTGGTATGGCACAGGGTGAATGTTTAGACAGGGAGAGGGAGAGATTCATGTCTGAGTACAGATTTGAGCCCAGTCAGTATCTGACCACTTTGTCCACTGCACCCCAACAAAGATGTGTATGTTTTCTGCCATAAGTTAGCCTGCACATGCCAGTGCCCATATTCACAGACGGCAGGCCTCTCTTGGGTAGCTGAGTGGACCCGCTGTCACCCGAGGCATTTACTAGGCCACCAAACACCTATTGCTACCTGCAGGAACCAACGTTGTGGGGCCAGCTGCTGGGTGGTTGCTGATTATTTATTTATTTAAGTACTTCTAAAGCACCTAAAATGTTCTCAGTACTGGAATGAGAAGGGAAGAGGAAAGCAAGCATTGGGACAGCTGCTTCATTAGCTGACAAAAGGAGCCATGCTGGTCTCCCTCTTGCCATCTGTTGTGAAGGAATTACCTCTGTTTGGGGAAGGGGTGAAGGTCAGTGGTAGAGCATCTGCTTTGTATGCAAAAGTTCGCATGTTCAATCCCTGTCATCTCCAGGAAGGGCTGGGATAGACCGCTGCCTGAAACCCTGGAGAACTGATGCCTGTCAGTGTAGTCAGTACTGAGCTAGCTGGACCAGTGGTCTGGTTGAGTATAAAGCAGGTTCCCAGCACCCCTAGTTCTCCTGACAGAGTGTGCCTCTCTTTAGCTTCTGCAGCTCCTTTGACTCGATGGGCCATTGTGGCTTCCTCCTTCCCACTCCCTTATTTTCCCTCCCAGCAGAGTAAGCTCACCTTGTTCACGTTACCTTTGCATGGCATGTCCATTGGTGGAGCTTGGAGGTGGTTCTTTTCTGACATACCAAGGGTTGTGGCAGAGCAGTTTGCACGAAACCAGTATTTTGACAGTTTGCTGGCAGAATGGAAGCTTTGTTGCTCTGTGAAATGTTGCAAGCTGAATAAATAAGATATGCCGTGAGGTTTTGCAGCAGGGCGGTGGGTTAGGGTGGGGTGGGAAGAGAGAGAGGGAGGAGAGGGAGAGAGAGAGAGAGAGAGAGAGAGAGAGAGAGAGAGAGAAAGGGTGGGTGGTTTTGTTTAAAATACTCCCATTTACAGTCAGTTAACCTTTACGTTACCTAAATGAAAATTGTACAAACCTGAAATTTTCGCTGATCGGGTTGCCTAGGAACAGACAGTTGGTTACCATAAGACAATGGATGCACTGTTACTGATAGGGCTATTAGAAATAGAGCCAGTTAGCAGCATTATCCTACATTGCCAGTTCTGTCTCGTGTAATTACCTGTTTTGCACCTCCAAAGTACCACCCACCTTTCCTTCCTCGCTCTGATAGCAGAGTTCGTGTGCAAACAGTGCCGAAAGAAAAAGCGATCTCTGCGGGATAAGAGATCCTTTGAGATATTTGGCAAATTTGGATGTTTTTGCCCAGTGGTGTGTTCAGGTGCTGTGTTATGAAGACTACATGGCCAAAATTGCGCTACTGAGAAACCAGAGGGAGTTATCAGGCGGCCTGCAGGAACCCCAAGACTTGCAGAAGTAGAACAATATTTAGGGGAGTATGCTAAGGGGCAATCCCCCCTCCCCAAAAACAGCCCAATGAGGACTGAACAGGCCCACTAGCCACAGAATGCTGATTGATGTGGCGGGGGGGCAGGCAGAGGGCCTTCTCGGTAGTGGCGCCCACCCTGTGGAATGCCCTCTGATTTTTTAGAAGACACCTGAAAGCAGCCCTGTTTAGGGAAGTTTTAAATGTTTGATCTTTTATTGTGTCTTTAGTATTCTGTTGGGAGCTGCCCAGAGTGGCTGGGGAAACCCAAATTATTATTATCATTATTTATCATCCCACCCCCGCTGGCCAACTCTGATGGGAGCAGGGTTATTTTCTGTCAATCATCTGGTGTCATGATGACATCAGATGACTGATAAGTGAACTGTGGGTTGGGGGGGTTGCTTTGCAGGAATTGTGCTTATGAAACAGCACCAGCTTATGAGCAGAGGTTTCAATCCTGTTGGCTTTGGGGAACATCTTGGTGAAGCAGCACCCAGCAAGAACAGAAGCACCCCTGGTCATCCGCTGACGTCATCCACTGATGTCAGCTGATGGACAGGCAAGTGGTGGTGTCCACCCCTGCTGTGACCTCTTGTTGCAGGTCTCACTTGTTCTCTTCACAACCAAACCCAGGATGGGACTGTGCAAATGAAGTGGTGCAACCATGCAGGTTAAGACTGGTTTAGTGCTATCTGTTTCTTGAGATGTTGGGGGGGGGGCAGATTTTGCCCCAGCTCAAAGTTGTCCATGACAGGGCTTCTCTGCTTTCTCCAATATGATTCAATGACTGCATTTCACTTGAACCCCAGTAGCTTTCAGTTCATATATTAGGAAGTGGATGGGGAAGGCAGGGGGTATGTATGCTGAGGATATTTACGATAAACTTTGCAGGGCTACAGAGGAGGAACTACATATTTTGGCAAGTTTATTACCAAGAGTCAAACTAGATAATATGTGAATTTCATGATTGCATTTCATATCTTCTTTTGTTCGTTAAATATCAGCCATGCTGGAGAAGGCAATGGTCAGAATTGAGACTGCTGAGGTGGGGTGGGGTGGGGGCGTAGCTGTTTCCTTTCACTAGAGTTCTAACTAAAATCCCTTTTAAACAGCTTAATGCTGCAGTCCTGGTCCTGATCATCCCCCCCTCCACCATGCCTTCTGTTTAACAAATCAGAGACCTGAAATGCAATCACACTTGCCTAATTTGGTCCTAAGTGGTGGTCTAAGTGAAAAGTGAGGTGAAAATCAGACATACCTTTTCCACTCTGTCTCTTTCACATGTGGTGGCAAGCCTGAGATTGGATGCTCTAAATTTTCTAGTTTGCAGCTAATTGCCAGAACACTTCCTTGCTCCTGGTCTGTTCCCTGGCTCACATCAAAGCACCTTTTCCCTCCAAGCATCCCACCTGGTTTCAGCAGCTAGAAATAGTTCTTCGTTTGACCTTGTGCCCTGCCATTTTCTTTTGGCCATAGTTGGCCTTATGCATTCTTCAAAGGTTATTAATAGCCAGACACTTGCAACGTGATGAAAATGGTATTAAGCTTCCAAAGGTACCAGGAATAACCCTTTATTGGTACATTGTACAGAATCCCAACCCCAGCACAAATAGGCATTTTCTTCCCGCACAAACCCAATCTGTTGGCAATATTTGCTTGTAGAAAGTTACCGCTGAATTACTTGGCAATAAGGTTGTGTTGGCAACTAGCCTTTGATTTCTCCAGAACAATGAAGTGTTTTGAAAGGAAGAGCTACCGTATTTTTCGTTCTATAGGACGCACCGGTCCATAGGACGCACCTCGTTTTTTTGGGGGGGGGGGGAATGAATAAAAAATTATTCCCCCCGCCGCCCCAAGCCTCGCGTGCTTCGGGCTGCAGGCTACCGCCCCAAGCCTCGCGCGCTCGGCGAGACCTCCCCCCGGGCGCGCGAGGCTTGCAGACACTCGCCCGAAGCACGGGGAGCCCTCCGGAGGGCTCCCCGTGCTTCGGGCGACAGCTGCAGCCCCAAGCCTTGCGCGCTGGGCGGGACCTCCTGCCGGGCGCGCAAGGCTTGCAGACACTCGCCCGAAGCACGGGAGCCCTCCGGAGGGCTCCCCGTGCTCGGGCGACAAGCTGCAGCCCCAAGCCTTGCGCGCTGGGCGGGACCTCCTGCCGGGCGCGCAAGGCTGCAGGCACTCGCCCGAGCACGGGGAGCCCTCCGGAGGGCTCCCGTGCTCGGGCGCACAGGCTGCTGCCCAAGCCTCGCGCGCTCGGGCGGGGCCTCCTGCCGGGCGCGCAAGGCTTGCGGACACTCGCCGGGGCTGCAGGCTGCTGCCTGCAAGCCTTGTGAGCCCGCGGGAACTCCCACCGGGCTTGCAAGGCTTGCGGATAGCTCCTGAAGCCTGGAGAGCGAGAGGGTCGGTGCGCACCGATGCCTCTCGCTCTCCAGGCTTCAGCAAGCTTGCATTCGCTCCATAGGACGCACACACATTTCCCCTTCATTTTTGGAGGGGAAAAAGTGCGTCCTATGGAGCGAAAAATACGGTAATCAATCAAAACAACAGTAGGAGAGACAGTAGGAAGTTACTGCTATCAGGAATTTGTGTGTGGAGATAAGTTAACCTTGCTGGTGGTCCACTGTGTATCGTTTTGTATGTCTACACGAACGCTCATGCTTATAAGTGTTTAAGCAGAGGACTACTCAACCAGGAAATACTTTAACCAATGTAGTCCTGGGTGGTAAAGTTGCAGTACTTGTTTTTGGTGTCACAGGTATTATCAACAGGTGTCTGTTGCAGTAATTCTCTGTACGGCAATTGCATTAGAAATGAGAAACGTAATAGCATTTGGAGTGAAAATAAGCCTGGTTCTTGTACAACAAAACAGCAATATCTGCATGTTTATTTCACAAAGAAGTAACCACTTAGAAACACACTAAAAGTTAATACAGCTTAACTTACCGACTTCAGCTTTTAGCTGTGTGACCTATCCACACATTATCTCTGCCTTAGCTGGGTTTGTACTGTCTGCTTTCTGAAGTCACATTACACATATTTACTCTTTGAAAATCACTTTACACTGCTGGCCTATTTTTAAAGTTCACATTTTACAGAAGAGCAATGCTAAAAATAACCCCCCTTCCCCCCACAACTTAACCAGATCAGTTCAGCATTTGACATTTTACATGAATTCATTTGCATCTCATTTGTACATGTTTCTGCTTAATAGGTGGAATGTAAGAAAGCACAACCTAAAGAAGTGATGTTTCCGCCAGGGACGAGAGGAAGGGCTCGTGGATTACCATATACCATGGATGCTTTTATGCTAGGGATGGGAATGTTGGGTAAGTGTGCAATAGATGAGCCATCGGCAAGAATGTGTCTATGTTTTCTGTACGTATTCCAAAGCTCAGAGCTGCCTAACTGTTGTGTGCAATAGATGAGCAGCCAGCAAGAGCCTGTTCCAAGATTCGGAGGTTCAAAAATTGCATGACTTGTGCAAGATACAGTGGTGTGGACGATGGGGGCTCAATTATCCTTTCTGTGGTAAAAGGCGATCACATACACACTCTGGAATACCCAAATTTGCATTTAAATGGATGTTTTCAGTGGGCCCTTCCACACACATTCACAAAAGCAGAATTATGCTTAAAACTGTTCTCTTCCTCCGCCTCTTCCCCCCACCCCCAAAGAATTGAGTCACACATTCTTAAAGGTATCTTTGACAGTTCAGCACAGATAATTAAAAATCTTCATGGCTTTAAATGGCACAGAAGATGGAGAAAGCCCAGCGAGAAACATAATAGCGTGGTTGTAGCAATAATTAGAAGTTCCAAGGAGAAAGGACGGTATTTGAGCCCAGACCATTGTGTCCAGAAAGTACTAATTAAATGGGATAAATGGTATTTAATGCTGAAATTCTATTTGCGTGGCAGGTCATCTTAGTTATAATTGGCTCTCATTTGTTTCTCCTTAGCTGTTCTTCCTATATTACCTGACAACTGCTTGATT